ATTAAATAAATTGTTAATAATTTCAACTATTTAATCATTTATAGTTGTTTTAATTCACTTGATTAGTAAAAATTATCACAATCTTATATGTATGCTATAAGGTAGACATAATGATATGAGCATTACGAATATAAAAAATAAAACACAAAACATTTTATAATTAGCATCTTATATAATTATTAAATAATTATTATCACCAACTACAGTTATTTTTATACATGCAACAGCACGAAACCACAGCCTCCAGTTGTTTACCTGGCACTGGACTTCATTCACACTGAGTTCTTCCCAAGACGCTAGGATGCTGTGATATATCGTTATAGTAGGTGTGTTTTTTGAAGTGTGGCTCTTTATCATTGACAGATGGCAATTTTGTCAGTGCACAGGTTTTCTATGATGATGGTGATCATCATCGTTGGTTGCACTCAGCCAGATGTTTAGACTGGATTTGGCATTTTTTATTCTACCTGGGATAGGCAGATATTGTTTGATGGTATTAAAGATATTGTCAGAGGATGTGAGCTGTCCTAAGTAAAGCTGCCTTTGGCATTTGACTGGCGATTTTGGTTAGTGCCGATGGTCTTCTCGTGATGCTGCAGGTGTTTTGGATTGCATCTGAGGCAACTGTCCCTATTGGTACTCTCTCTGCTTTCTTTTGTCACAATCGTTCTACTTCTATTTGCAGGTCTTTCTATTTTTTCCCTAGTTTTTTCTCTTTTATTCTGTTGTCTCCAGGTACTGCCACGCCCATTCTCCAGACTTTTTTGCTTTTCCCATCGACAGTTGTTAAGTCTGGCATGTTTTCTGACAGGTGCTTCTCTGTTTAAATTCTGAACTCCTAGAACATTTTACTTTCTTTGTTTTCTATTACTTTGTCTATTTTGTGGTCCTACCAGTTCTGGCTTGCAGGCAAATTGTATTTCTTGCGGATATTTCAATGCATCGTAGTTATTTTTATCATGGGTCAATGCCCAGTCGGTCAAATGTTTAGACTGGATTTGCCATTTTTACCCAGCTATTATTATTATTATTATTATCCTTCAGGTCACTATAAGGTAGCGAACCAGAACACTTGACTAGCACTAAGCAGACATTCTACATTCCATTTACTCTGTTCCTCCCCAAGCTAAGAGAAACATTTCTGAGTCTTTTCATGACTGAAGCTTCAAAATTAGCTTTCTGTGAGGACAATTGATTCGAAAACAGGCCTGGGAAGGTCATGCTCTGCCTTCTTTCACAAGAAATTGTAGGAAAAAAGTAGTGCAGCATGTACAATTGGAACATCCCAAGAGAATAACTGTAGGTAGTGATTAATTTCTTCCCCATTCTTCTTTGAAAGTCATACTGTGCCATGCCATACATTTTCTATCTACCTATTTCATTTTCATTCATTCATTCATTCATTCATTCATTCATTCATTCATTCATTCATTTTGTATAGCTGTCTATCTCATCTCAGTGACTCTGGGCAACTCACAACAATTAAAGCACTAGCCAAAACAAAAACAAAAAAACAATGAATAAAAAAGGCCTACAAACCCTCAATAAAAACACATTAAAAATAGAAAAATCACCCTCACAGTCACTGAACAGGCTCTCAACTACTAGCTGACCTCCAAGCACAATGGCAGAGTCATGTTTTCAGAGCTTTCCCAAAAGCTGGTTGGTTTGATGTTCCAAAGGGCGGATGGCACGGCAAAAAAGATTCTCTTCTTGTTTCAACATGTCTCCCCTGCCAGTTATGCTGAGATTGGTAAATGTAACCAGGGGGAGAGAATCCCTCAAATAGCCTGATCCCATGCTCTGTAGAGCTTTACAGGTCCTTACCAGCTCCTTGAATTGAAACTAGAAGCATCCTAGCAGCCAGTGCAGCTGACAAAACAGAGATATAGCGTGTTGAGGAGTGGACATAACTCTCTGTGCCACTGCATTTTGCGCTAGTTGCAGCTTCCTCATGCTCTTCAAGGCAGTCCCATGTAAACCACATGACAGCAATCCACTTATGATGTGTCCAGGGTGGAAGTGATTGAGAAGAGAGCCTCCTGATCCAGGGCCAGGTACAAATAGTACACAACATGAAGCTAACCAAAGGGCCTCCAGGCCACAGCTGGCATCTGCTCTTTGAGCAGAAGTCATGAATCATGAGCCACAACCAAGACAATATCAAGTACAAGAAATTGGAGTTTGGTGCAGAAATGTAATCTCAGAAAGACTCTCAGACATGACTCTCCCTACTTCTTATGAAAACACATTACGATTGGTAGGATTTTGTTATTATAACCTTAAAATGTAGCAGTGTCTTACTTGTCCTTGGTTTCCAAGTTTGGCCTGCCTTGGAAAACTGGCATCAATCTTTTCACTTGGAGGAATGGTGGATTCTATAGATCAGACAGGTCAAATTTGCAACGTCACATGATGTCGCGCAACGTATCGGGACGGTTTTGCCATTGCTGGCAATGGGGTGGGCGTGGCTTCCGGGTGACGCATCCAGCCTGCTGGCCGGCAGTTTGACACCCCTGCTATAGATGGATAAAAGTCACATGGTTGTGATCCAATCCAAAGCCTCCACCATTCCCTCATTCCAGGCAGCAGTTAGAGCCTCAAACAGACCATGGGACAACTCCCAAGATCCTTCTGGAACCTGTCAGGATTGCTTGTTCCCTGGGATGTTCTGATTGAAAGTCCCATCTTTTTGTAGTGAGAATGGCAACAGAGAACCTCAGTGGCTACCAGGGAGTGATCTGACTGTGACAAGGGAGTAACAGAGAACTCCTCCAATTCCAGATCTGAACAAAGAGCAGATCCGGTGCATTATCACATCTCTGGTCCATGGTTCTCATGTACCCATGAACTCTCAGAAAAGGCAACTTGAAGTCTCCTGGAGCCATAAACCTGGGTAACTCCACCACCAGTCTGGTTATGCAGTCAGGATGCTCAGACAGGGAAGATGTCATGCACCAATTAGCCAAGTATTTTAAAAATATTATTTTATTTCTGGTTTAATCTACAAGTAGGCATTATAATAAATTTGTGGGTCAACATCCACAAAGGCTGTGTTTCTTCCATAATACTACCTGGGACATTTTAACTGCGACTTTTAATCATAGTAGTGTTTTTATATAACAGGCTATGTCAGAAGCAAGTAGGGCACAATATGGCTTAGCCTCCTGTCAGAATGAGGCCATCTTAGCAGGAGAAAGGAATTCTCACACTCTTCTCCCCCCTCCCCCTCAATAATTTTGTCATTGCCGTCTTTGTGCCTAGCTTCTTTGGCAAAAGGATTGTCGCTTTTCTGGATTCAGTTCAATGTCATTCAGGGAAAAAAGAGGGAAAAGGCCTATTGCCAGCCAGCTTGTATCGAAATAAATAATGGATCACTGCAAATCTGCAATAATTGAAAAAAAAATCTCTTTAAAGAAGATCTCTCAAAAGAAATTTGAAAGAGAGAAAGAGAGTTAAGATTTTTCTCATTGGTTTTCTCAAATGACAAAAAAGCAAAGTGGATAATGAAAAATGGCCGGGATGACTGCAGGGTATGAAAAAAAACACAAACCAACGTTTTATGTGCGACACAAGCAGAGTTTTGGATATCTAAAAGAAACCCTCAAGAGAATTGCTGCCTTAATTGTCTCTTCAGCCTATCCCGTATACTGCAGGAATGCCCACATTTCCTGCTTGTCCAGGCTTACCGTAATTAAAGAGAGGCATAGGTCTTCACAGGGTATGGTTTAAAAAAAAGACAAGACAGCAGTCACAATAATGCAATGGAAACTCTGTCTATTTTCATGTACACTGCAAACTTTTAATTTTAAAAAACAAACAAACAGATGGAACTTTGATGGCATTGTTTGGGCCACAATATTGACTTTTTTGACCACACCCAATGAATGTCCCTGATGAGAGATATCTGCAGGTATTTGGATCTGAAATGGGAAAAGTGCTTCTCGTATACCCTTTTACTCTGCCTGTCAAGGACATCTATGCCCTTGACATTCCCTGAATTGAAATATGTATTGTTCGTGAATTTTGCAGTTAGCATGTAAGAGCAGGAAAAGGGGTCTCCTTTTAAGGTGGAGTTGACAGGCACAGCAGGTGCCCCCATACCAAGTCAGAAGCACTTCTTCCACTTTGGATGCTGATACCTCATTTCTCTGCTGAATGAACCCCAATAACGCAACACTCTAAGACAGGGGTAGTCAACCTTGGCTCTTTTATGACTCATGGACTTCAACTCCCAGAATTCCTGAGCCAGCATGGCTGGTTCAGGAGTTCTGGGTGTTGAAGTCCACGAGTCATAAAAGAGCCAAGGTTGACTACCCCCTGCTCTAAGACATAATTCAGTGTTTGGCAAGCCAAAATGGTTGGCTTTGAGCCACACCCTAGAATAAAACCCAAGCAAATTACATTTTATCAATGCAATCTATCAACTCCTCAACCTGGCAACCAGAGAAGAACAGAAGGAAAATATTCATATCATTTCAATGATTCAGATGGCAGTTTTGAATAGCTTTATCTTCAGGGGAGATTTGGTACATTTGTCTTTCTTTCTTTTTTTCCCCTTCAACTTCTTGAAGTTTATAAACTTTAAAAAAAGAAGAATGACAGGTACAGAGTCTTTTGTGACTTCTACTTCAAGTCCCGCTTTTTAAAATTTTTTTCTTCTATTTCCAACTCTATATACAGACTAATTTCCCAGGAATTGCCTGCAAGATCAAAGGACGAATATAGTCTAAGTAGAGGATGTGACCAGAAGCTGGGAGGGTCATACATTGGTCCTTCGTTACAGCTGACTTCTTCTGCCAGGACATTAGAAGTTTTCCCAAAGCTTTATGAAAGCAAATATGCCTGACTTATTTTTATTATACATGTGGGTGTGGGTGTTTTTAACCCTTATGGAAAGAATTCTTATGATAGCAAGAGTAAACTGCCAGGTAAAAGATTGCATGCAAAGATTTCCTTTATGTTCCCTACTTTCGTATCTTTATTTGTGTTTCTTCTAGAAATTGACCAGGGAAGCTGTGGAGATCCTGGAATGCTAGCATATGGCAAGAGAGAAGGGTCAACATTTCGCCACGGAGACTCGTTGACATTTGAATGCCAGCCTGCATTTGAACTGAAGGGGCAGAAAACGATCACTTGTCAAAAAAGTAGCCAGTGGTCTTCTCAGAAACCAGTCTGTGTTTGTAAGTCAGAGGGAAAAATTGTCCTTTCCCATTTAACAAGGGATATCTCAGAAGCTATCAAGTGAACAACTTGACATGTTGGGTGCAATGGAGATGGGAAGAAAACTAAACCAAACCAAACCTACAGGGTCCCCAACCAGGCTAGCTTTAAACACTTATTTATAGGTGGTTTGGAAGGGACTCATGCTTCCAAGGGTTAACTGAAACTCAGCCACAGAGAAGGAAGCCCCAGCTGGTTGACTGGGGAGGTTCTGGTTATTAACCCCATCGCCCAGTTGTAGCTGGCAAGCAGAGAGGCCCCTGACACCTCAGAAACTATCAATCTTCAGAAGAAGCTACCATTCTTATGTCAAGAATCAGCAGTCACCATTGTGTAAATTCACAATGTTGTACTGTGCCAAAATCTCATGAGACTTTATGTGAAAACAGATTATCTGTTTTGGTGACCTTGAAAGATTTCACCCATCTCTTTGTATATGTCCTGGGAGTCTGTCTATAGCAGAGGTAGGCAACCTGGGCTCTTTTATGACTCGTGAACTTCAACTCCCAGAATTCCTGAGCCAGCATGGCTCAGCTTAGAAACCTCTCCCTTCCCCTCAGCATGGCTGGCTCAGGAATTCTGGAAGTTGAAGGCCACCAGTCATAAAAGAGCCAAGGTTGCCTACCCCTGGTCTATAGTATCCTAAGTGATGTTCTAGTGTTTCTGGGTGCCACATTGACAGCTTGCATCTTAAATCAACACTTCTGTATCTTGCTTAGTGCAGATAGCCCACACCTCTGGGAGTTAGGTCATGAGGACAGGTTAGACTTTAGAGACCTTTCCTCCAAAGCCTCTACATTCTCCAATAGATGCGTTTAGTAAGTAAGAGGTACTCAGTTCCAGCATTTAATGGAAAGTAAGCTCTTGTTAAGTTAGGCTTAAATAAAAGTAGCCTCCTCAACTAATTTTATTTCTCCAATGCCCTTCGTCCTGCAGTAGCACAGCAAAGAAAATAAGAACAACTGTAGACCCTGACTAATTCCAAGTTGATCCCTCTCCAAATTCTAAACTACAAAGAACACTCTGAGTTACAGTAACTAAAACCATCTTAAAAACCCACTCATGGAAGGATTATAGACTAAAATAACTGGTGGAAAAACCTCTTGTAAAACTACCGAAGAAGTCCTTCTTAGGTGAGAGAGCACTAGGGAAATAGAGTTAATCCAGTACCAGTGGTCTGTCTGATGGATGCTCAAGATAGCCGGCAGGCAAGGCCTCAAAAGATAATCTGAGAATCCAGACAGAAACTGGCTGCCTGCCTGTCTTTCTCACTAAACTGTTTATTTCTGCTTGTCATATTTTCCATTTAGTGGTTAATTGTCTCCTTTCATCCCCCTTCTGATGCAAAAGGGCAGTTATCACTAAGTAAAAAAAAAAATGCAAAGGTACAGGATAGTAGGCAAGACACACAAGTATTCTCTTTTGATCTGCTCTGCTTCTGGGAAGCTTCCCGATTCTCAGCAGGGACAGTTTTGCTTCTGTCTGGATGCTTCTCTCATCAAACTGTCATTTGCAGCCATGGATAGAATGAAAGTCGTGGTTGTTCTACAATGCTTCCATCTCTGAAAAATGATGGTGTGGTCGCTTGGGCTAAAGAGTGCCTATTTGAGCAAAATAACATCTGCCTCTCTGGATCTAAGAATGCTCACTAGTCTTAAGATTTGCAAGTATTGCACAACCTACGAGGAAAGTCTGGAACAATTTTAGTTTGCCACATATTATATCCCATGCAGGTTTTTCCTCTCTGTGATGCTATACGATACTTGTAGATTGGTAGCTGGGTATGGCTCCTATGCATTCATTTTCCAATGTACTAGCCTTACACACGTATTCAAATTATTCTTATGAAAACCAAAAGTGGAAATATGGTGAAAGAGTCTTCCCAACATCTCTATCCTTTATTGGGTTGAAGAGTCAGATCTAATGCAGTTCCCAGTTTTTTCTTTCATTGCACCTTTACTTTTTTTTTTTTTTTTTTTTTTACTAAAAACCTTTGCACATCCTCATGTGACAGGGATTGGCAGTACAGTACAGGCAATCCTTGACTTTTCTGGGGCCAGAAATTCAGTAATAAGTCATTGCAGTCATAATGAAAGGTTCCTCATGTGACTGGACCTGTTTTTTTTTTCTTTTCAATATTTTGTAGTGCTCATGAAGCAAATGCATTCTTCTGAATGGGTGTTTTTGCTGGAAAGTGGTAAAAAAAATGTTGTAAATCATGGTCACATGACCATGGGATGCTGCAACTGGTCATAAAAACAAGCCAGTTGCCAAGCACCTGAAATGCACATGACTGCAAGGGGTGTGTGGTGACATTTTATGATTCTCAGAAGTGCTTCACAGGCCATAGAACATCCATCCCAAAGTTGTCATAATGCCGACTGCTCATCAAAAGCCCTCTATAAGTCAAGGGCTACCTTAACTGATGGTGCCATGATACACAGTTCTTCTTGCCTGGTAGTGACACCTTGACCATCAAGTTAAATTTTAACTCTTTCTGAGAACTAGTGTGGTTTGGTAGCTAAGAACTCAGACAGGAAGTAGGGAGACCAAGTTTCCTTTTAGTCATGGAGGGTAGCTCCATGTAGACCACATGGGACTCTAGACCAGAGCCTTGAATTGTATGGTTAATTTAGGTAGAGAAAACTGGATCAAATAACAAAGTCAAACAGACAGAACCAGAAACTCATATACTATGGGTAGAATTACACAACAGGGTTGGGCAGTTTATTGTTGAACCCGTTGTGGGAACCAATAAGGCATTTTGTCTTAGCAGATGTACTGAATCCTGTAGAACTTCACACTGACCTATTTTGAATGTACAAAAGTGGAGGTGTTAACTAGATTCTTGTAATTAGAGTCGATCTCTCTCTTTTCATGAAAATCTGTTTCTTTAGAATGACCAGGAGCAGGCCAAATATCTTACGGTATCTAATGGTTTAGAGCACAGGTGTCAAACCCACGACGTCACGTGACTTTTTTCCCATTGCCAGCAATGGGGTAGGCACGGTTTTGGCATGATGCATCCGGCCCACGGGCCGGCAGTTTGACACCCCTGGTTTAGAACTTGGTTCTAGAAACAAGGCTTCAATAGAGGAAAGATCCGTAAGAAGGTCTGATTAAAAAAAATGTATCTGTCTTTGTGTTCATACATAAATTGGTTACATTAATATTCTGTTTCTGTTTCTATAACTTATAAATGGAAACGGCAGAGTGTCACATCAACACTCAAGTAAATTGTGTAGATTTACTTGTAGACATGTAACTGTGATTGAATACAGATGAGGATCAAACAGTAGCTACATGTTGAATTGGATTGGTATAAAATATATAAAAATGAACTGGAACTCTACATGTTCAAACTGTAAGGTTTGTGCACTGATGTGAATTTTGAAACAGAGGTGCATACCTCATATAGCACCTATGTTGTATGCTTTATGGCCTACGGCTTAGAACAGGGGTCTTCAAACATGGCCCTTTTATGACTTGTGGACTTCAACTCCCAGAATTCCTCAGCCAGGCATGCTGGCTGAGGAATTCTGGGAGTTGAAGTCCACAAGTCATAAAAGGGCCAAATTTGAAGACTCCTGACTTAGAACAAGACCTTTTTCATCTAAATGGCATCAGAACCATTTTGGTTTAATTCAGACTAGGTTTGCAATTACACAAGTTGGCCATTGGTTTAGAAACATTACCTGTGATGTTGTTGTCAGGTTGTTTAAGATAGGGATTAGTAACCTTGCTTTTATCAAGTGAGGCATCTATTCTGCATTACTGTTAGATTTGGCTTTGGGACTAAAACCAATAAATGGGTGGGACTAAGCCTACAATGGAAGATTCAGGTTTGGGTTCTATCTCCTCATGTTGCCTCTTCATTGCATCTTCATCTTCCTCCCAAGAAAAGGAGAAATAGTTCAAACCACATGGGTCTTGGAGAGAGGGGTTTAAACATCTGAGCAAAGTGGGAAAGTTGTCTCACCTATCATAGGTTGTGATTATCTTATGGGATTTTTGGAGGCATCTATTTCAAGTCAAATCAAAAGGGAAAGTTGAGATGATGATACCCAGGTAGCCATCTGTCATATCTTGGGGAAGATGGTTGTCTTTGTTTACATGGCTTATCCCAGGTTATTCCCAGGTATGTAAAATGACTTCCAAGAAGAGCTTGATAATGGTCCATCCCCGAGTATATGGACTATTACCATTCAGTCGGTTAATTCTGAGCCCCAACTTCCAAACTGTCAGGTTGATACTGGTATTGTAAAATAGGTTCCTCAATTGGGTTGGTGTGGCTGCTTGAACATGTAACCATAGAGTGGCAATCATTTCGTCAACTTTTGTAGAAAAGTGTTTTATACAGGATGGGCATTGGGGGGAAAAAAGATCTACAGTCCCAGCAGACCAACATGGCAGGTGGCTGGAGCTGTGTCTTGTTTGTGGGTCCTGGTTGATGGCATTTGCTCAGTGGGATTGGCAAGAGAAAGTAATGTTTACCAAAAGTGGCAAGGTCTTCCTCTCCAGCTCTTTTCATGTCATTCTCATATCTCAACTGAAATGCAACATGTGAAAGGAAACATGGGCGAAAGGGGTCTTTGGGTTTATAACATCTATTTGGCTGCAAAAAAAAAAAACTCTCAATCAAAGAGACCTGGACACCAAGTGGGGTGGCTGACAGAGGACGAGATCCATCACAGCTTGACTGTTAAGCTCTAGTGGGATCCTTCATTTTCTTCAAGATGCATACTCTCAACTATCCAATTAGTAACCATCATCTGAAAATTAATATTATCTTTGTGTGGATGAATTACTTTTCTGTATCGGAGAAAGCACATTGCTGCAATAGGTTATCTGTACTCAAGTATGTGAGAAATGGAAACAATAAAAAGGCTGCACTGCAGTTAAGTGTGATTGTTTTCGAGTGTAAGGTTACATTTATCTGACTCATTCAGACTTTGTTATT